ATGACGATGGAATTGATATCATATCAGGAGATGGATGGATAGAGATATAATTTTAGAGAGAGAGAGGAGAATGGGCTGTGGTGTGAAAAAATGAGGAACGGGAGGGGGGGTATTTATACCCATCAGACCACACCCTTCAGGGGCGGTCTCATAATTTTGCCCATTGCAAAACCGCACTAGGAAGGCGCGGTTCACGACTACCGAGGAGGTGACCGTTCGCCAGGCGCGCGGTCTTCAATCCCTAATGCGGATCGCTACGCTGGCGCGCGGTTAGCCATAGGATCGCCACCTCATCCAATGGTCCTGGGGACCGCTGACTCGCGAACGCGGACCGCACGCTGAGAGTGCGGTTTTCGGGCTGCCCTAGCGTGGACTTCTCTCCCGTTGTGCGGTTTGCACATAAAACGCACCTTGAAGGTGCGGTTTATATGTAAAGGTGCTAATTTCGGAATTTTTGTGGACTGGGTGTTATTTTAGTAATTTTTTTTAAAAGGTGCTATTATTAGAAAAAATCACTGATCAACATACCCACTACTAGACACATAGAACACAAGTATCAACAATGAGCCATTCTAACCCATTCAATAATCAGATTCTGAATGAATTCAACACATGAACCCATGGTCCGTCTGTGGCAAAAGAAAGACAAAAGAATACTTGGGTTGATTTTTCAAAGCCAAAAATTGATGATTTGGGTAGAAAGTTACTAGTGGACTAGGCACCATTGAGACTCCCGTTAAACTTCTACTACAAAGACCCACCCACCACCCACTTTTGTTGGGAACATAAAAATGGTCACAAACCTATTCACTTTGTACAAAATGGTCACAATCCTTTAATTTTGCACGTTTCGGTAAATAAAGTTTGAGCAAATCACGAAACGGTCAATCCGTCCAATTCCGTCCAAAATTCCGTCCCCGATCGCCACGTCAGCATGCCACGTCAGTGTAAATATTAAAAAAAACATTTGTCTTACCAAGCCCACTTAACCCGAGTCTTCAACCGGTTCAGAACAAAACCCTTACCCACACTCATGACCAGATACGCCCCCCTATAAGAACAAAACCCTTACCTTTAACCTCCATTATTCATCCTCTGTTTCCCCCTTCCTCCCTTCCTCCCTTCCCCCTTCCCTCTTCCTTTGAACGAAAAAAACCATAAAATCCCAGATCAACACAGGACGAAATGGGTTCCATGCCTATTTGTAAGTGTCAAGACAGAGTTGTTTTGCTAACATCATGGACGGAAGATAATCCGGGTAGAAGATTCCTCTGCTGCAAGAGAAATTATTTGGTAAGGATTTTGAATTTGATTTTGATTTCTGTATTCACCATAAGAAGATTTGGTAACCATTCTCTTCTCTTTCATTTTATGAAGAAATTATCCCACCACTGTGATTTCTGGGCTGAACGCAACTCCATTATTAGTCAGCCGACGTTACAAAGAAAGTTACAGCTCTTCGCCTTTTTGGGATTTTTGTCGGAGATGATATGGGAAGAGGTCGATTGGATGAGAAGAGGAGGACTGGTTGTCGGGATTTTGGTCGGCCGATTTGGTGGGACTGGTTGTGGGCAAAGAGGAGGAAGTGTTCGACAGCGACAGCGGAAGAATCTCCCCCACCTCCCCTCCCGCACTTCAGCCGACGAACGAATCGGTTGGAGGAGCGCCAGCGAGAGGGAGGATGGCGGGCTAATCGGTTGGAGTAGCGCCGGCAAGGAGGAGGACGACGGACGATAGTTTGGAGGAGGTCTGCTCGCCGACGAATGCAATCTTCCCCTCTCCTCGCGACTTCTAGTCTGGTTTTGGGGGTAAAACAATTTGGGGGTAAACCGATTTGGGGGTAAAAAAATGGGTAAGGGTTTTGTTCTGAACCGGTTGAAGACTCGGGTTAAGTGGGCTTAGTAAGACATTTTTTTATTAATATTTACACTGACGTGACATGCTAACGTGGCGATCTGGTACGGAATTGGACGGATTGACTGTTTCGTTATTTGCTCAAAATTTATTTATCGAAACGTGCAAAATTAAAGAATTGTAACCATTTTATACAAAGTGAATAGGTTTGTTACCATTTATGATAACTACCCATTTTTATCCATCTTCCTTAGTTTTTATGTTCCCAACAAAAGTGGGTGGTGGGTGGGTTTTTGTAGTAGAAATTTATGGGAGAATGTTAAATGATTTGGAGAAGGAGGTTTGTTTCTACATGGGTAGTATGTCCATGGAGAAATATTGATGGTGGTTTATCCCAAAATAAGTCGTTCCAGCAACAGAAGAAATTGAATTTTCCTTAACCATCATGAACAAAATTGAGTTGTTTTCCACTTTTTCTTAAGAAGTTAGAGGTGTATGAGATGTTACTATCATTGAACAGAGCGAGTCGTTTGCTTCATGAGTTTGAAAATGAAGGGTCTTGAAAAACCATGGACCCTCGAAATTTGTGAACCCCATAAATTTGCTGGATTCCTATTTAACGCCCTAGTTTTTTAAATTTTACGTCCTAAATTAACCAAACAGACAATATTACCCCTCACCGCCCTTAATCGCTGCCCTTCCCCAATTTTGCGACTTGTAAACGCCGCCCTAATTACTCTGCTCGGCGGCTGACGAAAAAAGCGCGGCTGCCACCGGTCTCCGCCAACAGAGCAGCCGCGATCAGGGCTTCTCGATGACACCGGTCTCCGCCAACAGAGCAGCCGCGATCAGGGCTTCTCGATGACACCGGTCTCCGCCAACAGAGCAGCCGCGACCAGGGCTTCTCGATGACAATGATTAAGGGCTTCTCGAGCGGGAATCGCCGGCGCTGCTACTATTGGGAGGAAGAAGAGGGCGGACGCTACGAGCAGGAATCGCGATCGAGGAAGGAGGAGGAAGAAGACGGATCGAGGAATCGCGCTGAGGAATCGCGCTGAACACTCTGACGAAGATGCCGCCGTTCCTGCTGTGTCTCGCCTGTCAATTCGCTTGCCATCACGATGGGTTGGGATTAGGGCCGCGACGAACAGAGCAAATTGGATTAGGGCGATGGGTAACCGTCTGCCGGTCTATGGTTTTCGGAGGAGGAAGAAGAAGAAAGAACCGTCTCGCCGAGCAGGAACCGCGATCGAGGAAGGAGGAGAAAGTGAGGCGGGTCTGGTTGCTGGTCGGGTCGTGGGTCTGGTTGCTGGTCGGGTCGTGGGCTTCAGGACCTATGCGGTTTGGGTCAAATATTGTGTTATAATTAATTAGTTATGTATAATTAATTGGTTTTATAACCAATATTGAGTTTTATAATTAACGTACAATCATTGAGATTTACATTTAATTTTTAAATAGTGTGATTTACATTTTACAATTAATCTACATTTTTTATTAGAGATGAATTTATATGATTGGTGATGAATTGCTATAATCAATGCTTAAATTATATATTAATAAATAATATCTATAAGTAGGGCTTCAAGACAATATGATTTCATAAAAAAATGGATAATTACAATCCTCTTTATATATAAGAATATAAAATAATAATCACTTGATAATGACACAAAGGTAAATTCATAAGAATATAAAATCCAAATCACTTGATAATGACACAAAGGTAAATCCATAATTCAACATAATGTTAAATCTTAAAAAAAAATAATGCAACAATGTTTAATCACTCTTGTCATCGTCATTGGCTGGATGATGTCCTCCGAGATGGACATACAATTGTCGCCCTGGCTCGTATAACGAATCCCAATCAGCAATTCTTAGCATATCCCGAAAGTGAGACCACTGTGGACTAAAATGAGGTATTGGTGTGACCCCATCAACTTCGCCAAAATATAGTCGCACCCAATGTGCCCCAGTAAAAGCAAGAGTTATAACTTGACTAGGTTGAGTGACCCCTTCCGGCGCCGTCAAAGGTAAGACTGTGTACCCATACGTGGTTCGTTCATTATACAGTCCATAAACAACAATTGCACAGTTGTATAGGGTTGCGAATGTCAGCAAATCCACCTCCTCAAACCAATACTCTTGTGTGCAACTCCCAGCAGTCCGACGACCCAGCCTATGACGTGTTGCCTCCAACGATCCATCTCTGTAAAGATAAACCCCCTCATAGATAGACCTATGATCATTGATTTCTGTGACAAGATTTTGCCTCATTTGTAAGTATTGTTCCTCGTCTCCATAAATCACATGTGACATGGCTCGAAAACCACATTGCCCGTCTGGTTTTGGGTCAAACCAACCTCTAAGAAGAGGGCGGACGCTAAGTGGGATATAGCGGAGATAAGGACAAACATTTCTCTCATTGTGGACTTGCATATGCTGACTTTTCGAGACACCTCCTGTTATTACAAAAAATAACTACTGTAAACGGCTACATACCAAGGAGTATGATTACACCAAAAAGATAAGAATTTTGCTAACCTGCAGGAGTCGTCTTGTGTGTCTTTCTCGTGTTCTCATTTGTTTTGCTCCTCTTTGCCGTTCGTGTCCTCTCATGCTCAAACCAAGAAGGATCTCTAGTGTTCGACCTCTTTGGTGGTCGTCCCTTTGGAGCCTCTGACTCTCTAGGCTCTAATAGGCCTGCAACTTGTGGACGAATATGAGGGAGTAGTAACTGAGATGCCTTCCGGACAGCAGCTGGTCCTTGCCTGTACACATCCTCCACCATGGCTGCAAAAATTCCACGCTCAGTGGCATCATGGTCCTCCCATTTTGCACCATCAGGAGGACTCTCATACACCAAAGATGACCAGAATCGATGTAAGTGGTGAGGGTGTAACTCCATGCCGGCATCACTAAGTGCATCCATCTTACATTTACATGGCAAACCATGTGTCTCATGTAGCCGACATCCACATCGCTGAACAATTTCTCTTGCTCGTTCTTTCATCAACAACTCAATTGCCCACAAGCTTACTTCCATATTCAAGTGACCATATGGCGGACCGTCAGCTAATTTAAATACCTATTTCAAAGAACAAACTTCTAAGTCAAAATCAAATTGAGTATACAGAGGAATATCAACACCATTGAAGAAAAATTGAAAATACCTTCAAACGCGAATCCTCTAAGTCCTTTCTTAGTTCAGTCACTTTTCCCTCAATGGATGTGTGATATCTGAGAAAGAGTGTGTCGATCTTGTGGGTCGAACTGGCAAGCCATTTCTGCAAGGACGAATGAGCTGACTCTACCCTGTTTGTGCTCGTGTTACCAATATGGAAAACACGATTGGTGTAGCAATGAGCCCACCTTTGCGCACATGGTATCCACTCACCCTTCAAGTAGTTCATGAAGCGTAGGTTTCTACCCCACTCACTATTCTGCAAGTCTACCCACCGCTGCTGGAACCCTCTCTGCGTGTTGGCATTCATAAGTGTCTGCCAATGCCCTGCTACAAACGCCTCTGCAGATTCTCGACTTGACCCGAGAGACATCATCTTAGCTTCAATATTTTTCTTCATGTGCCACACACATAGTAAATGAGCTGAAGATGGAAAGATCTCACGCACAGAGACACCCAACCCTCCCTCCTTATCGGTGACGAACGCATCTGGTCTTCGACCACCAAGAACATTCTTCAGTTGCGACAAAACCCAAGCATATGTCTCCTTTGTCTCATCTGAAACCAATGCGAACCCTATGTTGAAGTTCTTCTTCACCGGACTAACACCAATCAACTGAACCAATGGTTGTTTATACTTGTTGGTCTTGTACGTCGAGTCTATCAAAATAACGAAATACCATGCGCTCAACATCTTAATAGATTCTGGATGGCAAAGGAAGAGTCTAGTAACACAATGATCATCATCAAAATCAACCCCAATGAAGTAGCCAAGACGGTCAGCTTCTATCAATGTCCACCGCATAGGGGAAAGGCCACCCAATCTCTCGCGCCTAATCTTTGCTGTCTCGTTATAAACCTGATCCATGTTGTGATGAGCATCATACTTCCTATTTATAAAACTTCTTATATCTCTCGCCTGAGTATGTGTTGCCTCCAACTCCTTAATTTCATTTTTTTCCTCCTTTGAAAGAGCATTCCTTTGCTTGTTTCCTTCAGAATAAACCTCCAATTTGTGATTGTGAAATCCCTTTGACTTCCCAGACCTATCCATACCACCCAAAATTCTCCACTGACATTTGCCATTTACCAATGAAGCCCGCACTACAACTTGGAATTGACAACCTTGTTTGCCTGATTTTGATTTGACCCGTCTTGTCTTCGTCAAATCTGGGGTATATGATTTGCTCCTATTACCATGGTTGCAATCCATATGTACCCGCGGATAGGCTTCTCCTGGGTTTTGCTTGACTGATCCCACAACCAAGAAAAATCTATTTCTTTGGGCAATATCCCTTGCCGCCGCACAAGCTTCGTCACGGGTATCATAAACAACATCGCTTATGAACAATGATGTGTAATCAAAATTGTCACCCTCATCACCTCCAGAATCTCCCTATAATTAAATATGATAAAAACATATAAGGTTGAGCCATGCAAGAATTATGGTACAATAATGAAACTATCAAACAATAAACAAATAAAATACTTACCGAATTACTCATAATAAACTCCAAAGGAAATATCCTTATTCAAACTTGATTATCTTCGATTACACGTCTTTATTTCTATTATGTTCTGTAAAATTCGTAGGTCTTACATTCTCTATTTATAGAAGTTGCAAAAGCATATACTGTCCTTCTAGGAATAGAAAAACAAATCCTACTCGGAAACATAATATTACTTGAACAATGACTGCAACTATTAATTCATCTTCTAAATAATCAAATTAAATAAATATGATGTCCTTTTCCTTTGAGGAATTATTTAATTATTTTATATTGTTAATAAGTGTCCAACCTATGTAAAAAAAAAAAAGTGTCCAACCAGACCAGATTCAAACGTCCAACCCGATCAGATCCAACCCAACCGATTCCTGCGGTTGATCTCCTTTCAACCAGACTTGACCCGGTCCCTAAAAAAAAAAAAAAAAAAAACCAGACTTGACCCGCAGCGCTTCCTTCTTCGTCCTCACCAGAGAAGCGCGAAGGTAGACTTGACCGGCGCACTGAGCACGAACGGCGGCGGGAGAGATTGGAAGAACCAGAATTAGCTAATGCCGAGAGGGAACGAGTGAGAGCGAGGCTGTTCGGCTTGATGGAAGGTCTCGAAGGGTTCCGTCGGGAATTCCTTGCTCGCTCGGGGAACTGAGCTGACTTCGGTTCGTCGAGTCGTGTAGTTGAATCGGCGATTGATTTGTGAGACGAGCTGCGGCAGTAGCTGGGAAGAACACTTGCCGCCATTTTTTTCAACTCTCGGGCGATGACGCTGATTCCTCCCGGATGATTAGGGAGACGACGATTAGGGGATTTTCCGAGCGATCAGCTGCTCGCCGGATGATTCCTATCCTAGCCGACGATGAGCCTCCTTCCAGGGCGAACGACAGCGGTAGGGCGGCGAGAGGTAGGGCGGCTAGGGTTAGACATTTAGTTAGAAATTGGGGATTTTTTAAGGGCAAAATCGTGAACTTTTTAAAATTAGGGCGTAAAATTTAAAAAACTAGGGCGTTAAATAGTACCTCTCTAAATTTGTTGTCACTAAACACATAAAGCAAACATTGAAATTTGGACAAAATCCATTAGTAATCCAAATTCATCCCCAAATACATCCAACAAACAACCCCTAAGACAATTTCACTTATATTGAATGATTGCTGGCTGAATCAAACCAAGGCATAACAACTTCAAAACGTATGTTCCTAACAATATACATGACCAATCAAGGAAAGAAGATAGACAGGAAATGAAAAATTACGCATTACTACACTACTACTAGTAGTCTTATTACTACTATCTGCACCCAACAGTAACCTCAAATCGACCCCATTGTTAGGCCCCAAGCTTCATTTATTTCAAACAATCCACATTGCACAATCCAACCGACCTCACCATCTCCCCAAACCTGCAACAAGAACGAACCCCAATCATTACATCTTTCAAACACATACTAAATCCCAAATGCAAAAATTCATTCATCGTCACTAAACCTGTCTAAGCTGTTCCTTGAAGAATCAACGCTCTTTCGTGACGGTATCTTAACGTTACTGTCCCTCCTTTCGACGCTAGCTCTGCCTCCTGTACTCTGCCTCCTCTGCTCCTCAGAGCTCTTGTCCTTCTGCCTTCGCTTGCCATCCCAGTGATCCGCGCTCACCCTCCTCCTAGACCTCTCCTTCACACCCGAGCGCTTGTCACCTCTATGTATCACAATTGGTGAACCGTCGGGCAAATTGTTCGCATCGCGGAGCTGGGGAGGGATCTTCTCGACGGCTGAGACGAACTTTTGCAGGTGGGTCAAGTATTGAGGAAATGTCTCCAAGTCACAATGCTTCCCTTTCTCCACCCACAGTGGCTCGTACTTGTCCTTGCACAGCTTCCACAGCTGCTTCCCGTGGGAGAAGTCCACAATTTCATCATCTGTTCCCTGCCAAAAAAACAAATTGGAAACACATGGAGGAAAAAAAAAACACAGAATGCAGGGGAAGAATTAGAAACCCCTGTTTCTAGTGAATCCACATCGTTATACTTACATGGATTACAAGGACCGGGCGGTTTACCAATGGGATCTTGTCAATGTTCTGCAAAGAAGGAATGTGTTGTCACAAATGGCGAAGAGGGTATGGTAATATGGCTATAGTATTACCTTGTAGATGTCGAACCAGCAACTCGTGGTGACAGGGTACATGACTCTGAGGCCAGAGAGGATAGGGCTGTGGAGGACGAGTGCCCTTAGTTGGGGCAAATGGGTAGCCAGTTCAAGTGCAGGTCCGCTCCCAAGTGACTGCCCGTACAGTATTATGTCTTCCTCCTTCATCCCATACTTGTCTTTCAAGCATTTATAGGCTGCCTGGATGTCTGCATAAGTGTCTTGTTCACTTGGCTATACCATCATCGAACAAAAACCAGGGGACATTTCCCAGTATTAACAACCATTACAAAAAGGTATGTTGCAGTTATATGTTATGGATTATGAAGTAAATTCTTCTTCCATATATTATAGATACCTTTCCAGAGGACTGCCCATACCCTGAATAATCATACCTGAAACATCGCAGTAGAAACAGAGGTTATCCGTGGAAGCAATTTATTTAGTTAGTAGAAATTGAAGCGGTAAAAATGGGATTTTGAATTTGGGGAATTATGTTTTTGGAAAAGAGGAATACAGACCCCATGAGATTGACGTTGAGATGGGAGCTGAGCTCGGTGAAGATGAAGTACATGAGGCCCAGATCGGCGGCGTTTCCGTGGGAGTAAAGAAGGGTGAGGGAAGCCGACGGGTTCTTCACAAACATCGCCACTATTTCGTTCCCTTTGTTCGTGGGCAGCTTCATGACTTCCACGTCGACGGCCCTCCTCGGCCGGTGACCCCGGATGCTGAGGTGGAGCTTACCGGTCACTTCGTCGGCCGAGACGTTATACGTCGGCGGGTTCGGCGGATAGAAGGCCAGTTTCGCCGCCATAGACGACGTTGCCGTCCCCATTATATGAATGAAGTTGTTGTTCTGTTGCTGTATTCTCTGCAACTGGCTTAGCGTATTGTCTTCTTTGTCTGCTAATATAGTGGGTTTGTACGTGCTGGGAGGAGGCGGAGATGAATGGGAATAGAGAATGGGCAAAATATGGCAAGGAAGAAGAATCGGAGGGAGAGGAAATGGAAACTTTTGTCGGTAATGGGTTTGGTAATTTAAATTTAGTCAAACTCGTCGATGATCATGGTAATTAGTCGACTAGGAGACTGGGGGGAAATTTAATTTGGGAGGGATCGTTTAGTAAGTAAATTCGACTAATCAATTTCCTATTTTGGGAACTTTGATTATGGTTAATCATCAAAGCAGAATTTAAGTGCAAAATAAAAAATCCGTGTCATGCTATCCTCCAAAAAAGATACCCTTTTTGAATCCTTGATTATAATTTCATTTAGACGAGACGAGTTCGATTTAAATATTCATAATTAAGAAGTTAGAGAATGAAAGATGGCGATTGAGGGGTTAAGTTTTTATTTATTTTGAGATGATTGTGTGCAAAACCTATCGTTTTATGAATTGTTTCACATAAGTTGCTTAACTCATTTTGTTTCTGGGGGCCAAGTTGAACGAAAGCACAAAATCATAGATCGTATTGAACATCGAGTACATTGGGATTCGATTATAGTCGATTCGAATGAAGTAATTATATGAACCTTTTACCCGCTAACTAAGATCTAGCTAGGTTGAGCGTGGATTTTCCATGAGCAGCACAGCTAGGTAATAATTTTGGTACTCGACGAGATGTGTTGCTGAAATTGAACTAACGAGTATAGGTCATGGAATACAAAGGAGCGGCCAGAGAATTGGGGAAAATTGAGGGAATGATGAAATTGGTATGGTAAGGGCTAATATCAAGGAAGGGAAAGCAAGCAGCTTGGTGTTTAGTGGGGACTAGTTTGTTAAGAAGGAATATTTCATGATTACACCACTTAACATATTTGGTCACCGCTCCATAGGGACATAAAAAGTGCAATAAAAAATAACTTTATCACCAATATTTAAAATTAATTCCATGATTAGGTGTTGAATTTTGTTGCCACTAATCATCCCAACAAACATCTTTCTTCCTCTTTTCTCCAAAGTTTGGCTCTCTTATGGGGCATGATCCAAAGCTTGGTTAATCCGTGGCCATTTAGAAACAAGTTGTTAGGCTATTTTTTTCGCATGTATTTTTTAAAGCAACTCCTAAATATGAATTGAAAGCTTTTTCAAGCAATTGTAATAATACAAATAAGAGAAAGAGACTATGCCATTCCCTTCTCGACTTATTTGATTCTCAGGATCCAACAATTAATGTCTCTTTTCTTTTTCTTGCCCTCCTACTATTAGATAATGTCATACTCATGTACCCTTCATACCATTGTTCTCCATGATCTTGGAGCCGAATTCGAGTTTTGATGTTCTTGACATACTTGACAACTAGCTAAACCATCAATAAAAAAAACCTTTCTTATCAAGATATACACAGCTCTTTTTACCTTTTCGGTATGGTCCTAATCGCTAACTTTAACTTCTACCCTTTGCAGGGAGAACGTCAAGGATTGAGTCCATTTTTGATGAAAGTAGTGCAGCAAACCCATGGAAGAGCCTTCATCCTGCAATTCAAACACAGAGAGAGAAAAAAAAAATAAACAAGAAGGAATCGAACCGAGTACAACGAATGAAAGATACGGGGGAAATCAACATACAACAGATCTGCAAAAGAAGGGATGCGAGCAAGCAAGCGTAAACTGAAATAAGAGCATCTACATCGCCTTTAATTGTCCAATTCCATTGTGACATGGCATCCTTCTTTCTCCATTTCACGGTTGTTGCCTCATCTTTTTTATTTTTCATTTCTTTTAAGGTGGACAAGAAGAGTGTGAGATTACTTTTCTTTATTTTTTCATTAATTGTGACTTAATCAAAATTAATTAGTAAATTTACAAGCCATTAATATTGAATTTTCATCGAGCCAATTGTGAGAACCAAACCTCCAAATTAACCTACCTGAAATAGTTAAAACACTTGGCCAAAATTCAGGATTCTTCATATGAGTTGAGATGACTTCTTTGGCAAGTAATTGTGACTTGTAGAGTTGGCCAATTTGGGTCGTATAAGAACGACACCATATTGCAACAAAAACACGACCAAAAGCTCTTTTTTTACCTCTTCACAAACCTTTTGTATAAGACAGTCCCAAGTTGAAGAGAAACCTGCAGCAGTTTGCCAAAAGTTGTAGAAGCCAGACACAAAGTATATGAACAACATTAGAAATATGATTCCTAATCTCAACTCTGTTACATAGCTCACAAAAAGCATCATGAATTCTACTCCACTATTTCATTTTCTCCCTAGTAACGATTCTATTCAAAATGATCAAACAAGTTATGATTTGATACTTAGGAATAGGAAATTTACTCTAAAGTACACACCACCAGTCAACAATAGGAACTTTCACCCTAATTGAGTTTCAAACCTCTTGTGCAAAGAAGTGTTTTTTAGGCTTGCCTTACCATGTGACCATACCCTCATTATTAACCGTCATTCTGAATTGAAACCAACTTCGAACTTTCAATAGCATTCTCCATATCCATGATCCCACAACTATAATAGGAAATTCCTTGGTAGATCACCCCTTGAGCCTGTAATTGTTGATCCATGCAACCCAAAATACAATGAAGAGGAACACGATGTGGGTGGTGTGGGCTAAAATCGGACAATGGCAGTAGAATGAGCAAACAAAGGTTTTGCAATGGTTGACGCAGGGACGAACGTAGGCACGCATTTATGTCGAAGATGGGGAAATGATGGTAGAATATGGAATGGTTGTCACAAAAAAATTCTTTGTATTGAGGTCCACCGTCAAGACAATACCTCCTTTCCAAATATTGACCTAACGCCGTTTAAGATAGGCAGGTTGGGTTTATGAAAAAAACCACTTCCACACGAAAGGGATGCAACCACTCATTCTATTGAAGTGCAAATTTGTAGATTACTATCTTTTAGGACCACCTTCACGTGGAGAAACACTTAGTGGTGCCATCTTCAGGGTATTCCATAATGCATGGTACTAGGTACGAACAATAAAGTTAGGGTTGACCAACTTTATTGGTGATAATTATGAAATAAAAGATAAGTTATCTCTCGAAAGTACTTTTATTTAGTGTCTTTAAGTTAGACCAGTCATGGGTTGCCTCCCAAGCAGCGCTCTCTCTTTAATGCCTTTGAGCTAGTCATCTCTAGTGCCCCTTTTCTATTGATTAGACCAATGAAGGTCTAAGGGCCATTCCCGAAAGTGAACATCTGGGGTAGGTGAATCGAGGAATGGATCGGACACAAATTTGTGAGTCGTAGGTGACTCATAATCATGGACGTGAAAATTACGTACCACCTCCTCAAACTCTCGCTTGCTATATGGAGATAGCAAATTCACTTGGTCGAATTCCCAATTGTCCTCTCGAATTTTATATGCAAGCAAACTAAAGATATTAAAGGGCATAGCACTAAGACTAGACCCTAGATCGATAAGAAATTTCATCTCGTGGTGATCATTAAGAACACAGGGGATTATGAATTGATCCGGATTGGGTAGCGTTCGTAGTACCAAGAGTTGCAAGTGGGAAGGTATGTCTCCCATCCGAAGCTTGCGAGATAGCACACAATCGTGATGAATAGGTTTCCTAATTGCTCTTAGGGGATCAGATATCCGAGTAAAGGCTTCCAACATTGTTATGCAGTTGCTTCCCTTCTTATAGAAGAGATGAATTCATTGAGCACACTTTGGCTAGACCCAGAGATATCCCTATGAGGGTTGTAATAGGTGCCCCGTTCGCTTATTTGGGAAGAATTTTCATCACTTGGGTAGTTGATTATCATCTAATGAGGACAAGTTCTCACGTTAACCGCCACAGTAGTTTTGACCTCCTTCCAAAAATATTCGTACAAGCATTTATGATTGGGAGGGTTCATTCCCGTGCAAAGTGAATATTCCTCGTCCTTAGGAGGCTAGACTTTCTCTCCACCTTCCGCTTTGTGAAGAAGGTGCTTATAAGAGATTTCACAGGGTTAAGAAGTTCCTTATTGTGGAGAGGGAATGTAGGTTGCTCCTCGTAGGAGTATCGCTGGTTCATGCGATCCTCACCCATGTATGAGATGGTTACCATATTATATACTTCGTTCGTCACTTGCTTCTTTCCCCAAAATAAGACGTGGAAACTCGTAGCGAGTAAAGAGAAGATTTTAAGCATAAGCGTGAACCATCTCCTATTCGCCTTAGCAGACCTTTTTGGTTCATACGATCTCAGATTCTGCTAACGCAGCCCAGAGGACTCCAAAATGGTTGAATGCCAGGCTTCTAGATTCTTTTTCCGGGGGACCAAAAATTAGCCCTCCTAGTGCCACTTTTAGCCCAAAATGGGTGCCTATGACACCATTTTCTGCACTATGGGAAAATCCAACCTTAGCTTCGAGCTTCGCATCCTATGAATTTATTGCTCTTTCTATGCTTAGGTAGTGGATAGAAGTAGATCATTTGACCTCAAGCGCCTAAATCTTTTCTTTAGGATTGTTTTCCGAGTTGTTTGGAAGAGTTCTAGACATTTCATGGGACTTTTGAAGCTCTAGATTAGAAGCTAGCTCGCGCTCGATGTTCTTAAGCGTCACCTCCTGGCCTCAAATATATGTACGTAGCTCATCAAATGTTAAGATTTCCAAGGCATTGGAAGGTGAGGTCGTGAGTTCTGGTACCCAAAGTTAGGGCAATTGAATTCGTGAGCTTGAGGGTGATGAGTATTCATGAAGTTGAACTCGTCGATTGAAGGATCTCCTATAGCCCCGCAATTGTTCCCATTATGACCACCCTCGCCGCATTGCTCCCACACTAAGATTTGTTCTATAGGGGTGTTTCAACTCATCTTGAGTGCTTGCACCTCCTTAGCAATAGCAGCGATTTGTTCTGCTATGCCCGTGAGAGATTCATCTATTCCCCACACCATTTTTACTATCACATGAGCATTTCTTGTCGACCAATTTTGATATTTGGCGGTCATCGACACGTAGTGATCG